GAATGAACTTGGAAAGCAAAAGATAGCGTACCCCAACGACAAACGAGTGATGATAGGCGAGGGAGTTCCCCACAGACAGCAAAAACATGGAGGAAATGGGAGGCGGGCATGAGCAGGGCACACACTATTCCCAAGCGCATTCGCATGTGATATATTGCTCGGCCAACGACTCCAAGAAATTGAACCCTTACGTTCAATTCTCCGGGAACACGCAGGTCGCAGACGACGAACAGGTGTTCGTCGTCTGCACGCAAGGCAAAGGCACTACCATAGGCGAAAACGAAGGCGAAATCAAAGGCGATTAGGGAACGGGCAACTGACTGCGAAAGCGAAGGAAAACTCAATGGCGGAAACGTAAACAAAAAGAAATGCAATTGCGACTACGAGGCGGAACGGTTAACGGAAATTGAGAAGTCAGATCGATAAGCTAAAGCAGTAAGGATACCAACAGATCTGGCGAGAACTCAGAAACCAGAAACATACGAAACCTGAAAGGTGCCGAGAATTGTGACAGCGACGGTCGAATCAACCCCAACACCTGTTCCATCCTGGCCAAACGCAAGCATAACGCGGAAGATGATAACATAAAACGGAGAATGAATAACTGAAAGGGAGAATAACGGAACACAAGGGACGCTGAAGATGGAACATGAATGAAGGGAATGAGCAAATAAGGAAGAGAATACTGAAATGATATCAAGTCCTAGAAAAGATTCAGCTAGAGGTACAGAAGGTATGGAGACGAGCTAGGGACCAAGAAACGAGGCGGGAAGTATGAGGAGAAACCAATTCTTGAAACCCTAGTGAGAAGAGTCGAAAGCGGAAGTTTGTGTGGAAGCAATTAACATGGTGTTTTTTTAATTTTGGAGAAGTCCACGTGTCAAGCGTGGCACAGTTATGTGGAGAAAAAGACGCGATTAAGGTCGGCTGATCGACAACCATGAACAGCTAATCCAGCGTTTTGCAGAATATTTGTCGGCGTCAACTTAGGGAGTAATCTAAGTCGATTTACATCTGGGAGTCAGATCCTGACTCGTGGTGAAATTGAGAGGCAGGCTCGGGGATTGATGTCTTAGAAGCTCGACGTTTCCCGACACGCAAGCTTGCACGAATTACAACGCGCCCTCAGTAGAAGCATCTCATAAACAGTTCTCTAATATAGGATTTTGATTCATGGTATCCTGTTGTCATTATTCCCCTTGAAAATAGGTTTTGATGAAGTGATTTATTTTTGGACCACCTATTTGTGTCTTTTGAAAAACATGCACAATGTTTGGTTAGGGTAAGGTGTTGTGGTAATTGTGTCGCATGCTTTTGTAACACTCAGTGTTACTCTGTGAAACAGTCAACATTCGTGTTTTTCGTCTTGCTCGCTATTCGCCGGTTTCGCCACTGTGTTGTCAGCATCATTCTGCCCAATGGGGTGGGGTACGTTGTCTGCGTTTGTCATATGGCGCCAATTTTCCACTGCCTGTTTTGTCCGTGTGTGTCGGGCTGAACGATTGTTTTGTCGCTTGCGCACTGTTCTGCGGTTTGTTTACATTGTAGGGGCTTCGTCACTTCAGCATTTGACTCCACGGAGATGCCACAGGATGGCAAGCCTTTCCCGGGGCTGCCGATAGGTTGTTAGTGTGGTCTCGGTATACACACGCTCGCCTTAATCCAGTCCCGCATGCGCTGTAGGTACACCCTCGGCTAGCGGATGGAGTACCTACAGTGTGGCCAGTCCCAAACCACTTTGTGGCTTGGTACCATTTCCAGAGAATCTTGGCGGGTACGCGAAGGGGGTTTTTGCGAATTTTGGGATGTCGGTAGGGGGTAGTGTGTAGGTCCGATTACCGTATGCCGCATCGCAAACAATTGTGTAATCGCCAGTCATGCCATTCTTTATCGCCGCCTTTGCCATGCTATTGTAAAAAACTCTCGCGTCATTCACGCTCCCCGGGCACCCAACATTGAAATCCCACACCATTCCGTTCACGTAACAAATAATATGCAAGATGACAGAGTAGTGACCTTAGCGATTGCGGAAATCATCGCGGTGCACCCCCATCACAAAAAAGGCTCATTTTGTTTTGGTGGCGTGATCGCGAAGTTGGCTTCGGAAGTTGGGTTGGCGGAGAGGGGGCACGCAATTTTCGTCCAACCCCTCACAAAATCGTCTCGCGAGTGCTGTCAATTGGTTAATTGTGCTTCGCGCCCATCTCGCCCAGTTGAACGCGGCTCGGCTCAACGAATTCGGACTTTACCTTCACTCAAATCCGCTGAAATTTAGTCATGATAGAACATCTGTATTCTGGTTTCGTTTAGGTCAAAACTCAGACCTAATTTCAAGTTTAGGGTTGTGTATTACTTGCTAGTAATACGAAAGTTAAGAATTGTTGTATGTGTACAATTTATTCACCCATTGGCTTTCTCAGCACTTATTATTAAGAATGGCTTACTACATCAGCAAAAACTTATTCATATGGAAAGCGTTCTGGCTATGAAACGACTTCACCACATGGACTTGTCGCTTGATTGTGTCGCAGTCGATGACGGAATACTGCGAAGGTCCTGGTGTCCAGCGGAGGCGACGACATCCGGTCTTTGCATCCTCACCTGTCACAGTCCAATACCTCACATAAGCCAGCTCATGGACAACCCCGCGCCTCTTGATCTGGAATAGCAACAAAAGTCGTCCATACCACTCCATCTCTCGCCCGTCACCTGTTAGTCCCTTAATTGCCACGTCAGAAAACCAGGGCTTGTCGTGGGACCTGGGCGTTGCTTTCACGAAGTGTGCGGTGCCTGCATACCCCTCTTCTTCTGCTGCTGGTATAGCGAGAGTGGTATGGGCCTGCAAGAATAAAGTGGCTACCTAGTTAGTGATAGATTGAGGTTGAGGCAACCCTTGTACATGCTTCGTTGCCATGCTACTTACTCTGACTATGGTTGGCGTGAAGCGCGCCGGATGCCGTGCGAGTGCATTCTGGAAACTGCTATGTGCCTCGCTGTGTTGCTCTGTCCACATCCGTGCAAACCAGTTTCGTGGCCTAACTGCCACCACCGGATCCACTGGGAAGTAGTAGGAATCCTTGGTCATGACTCTGATGCCTCCCTGGATCGCCTGCACGTGGGAAGCAGTCACGAATTAAGCATGCACGAACAAGATGAGGCACACATTGGCAGCTACATTACCTTTTGCATGGCTGTTTGTCGTGCATTCTCGTTCTCATCAATGCAGGTGAAGTCTAGACGCATTTCGTGGTGCTTCATTATTTGGACATCTACGTTTCGTTTGTTCGAGCGCCTATAGATCTGTTTTAAGAGCGGTCCATGCAGGTGCTCGAAGACGTTCGTGCTGTACTCCTGCACATATCCTGCCCTACGAATCGAATCTATAAAGTGGGGCATAAGGTGGGTCTTGATGAGGTTCCAGGCCGAAACCTGCTCCGGAAATGCCGACTTAAGAAGCTCCACAAGCCTGCAACGGTGTGGCCATCGTAATAAGAGACGTTCAGGAGATGTTCAGAGCACGACAGATATAAAACGACTGACTAGGCGAGGAGCACAAGGACCAGCAGGGGGCGGTGAGCGAGATAGGAATAAGGCAGAGTAAGGATCGGGTGAACATACCTCTCTGTTTTTCCCTGCAACGCATGCAGGGAGCGTTCGGTGTGAGATGGGGCGTAGCAGGCTAGGTACCAGTCCAGGTACGCTCTGATTGCCTCCAGTTGAGGCGCGCCGAGCTTGTCGGCGACCAGGAAGATTAGGACCTGCAAAACACGGCGGGGTGGTGGAATCGTGGGGAGCAAGGAGGGGGGGAGGGGGGGGGGGGGGGGGTGGGGGGGGGTGGGGGTGGAGAGGGTGTGTGGGGTGGTGCATGGCATGTTTGGTCTGTGGAGGCATTGTCTGTGGAGGCAATGAGGTGACTAACAAATGTAGTCGCGGTGGAGGTGACGCTCCCAATGACGGCCAAAAGGATTGGGCAGCATAAAAGAATCAACACTGGCAGTGGTGAAGTATGGACAGGGGGGGTTCATGAAGGGTGGTAGAGGTGCAGCAATGATGGGGGAGGGGTAGAGATGCGTTGAGCAGGAGGGAACAAAGGGAACGGGGCGCCGGTGTGCACAAGGTGGGACGGTAGATGAGACATAGGTGGTGTGAAGTAGCAAGGGGGAACTTCGTAGTGGCGCACCCAAGTTGGGTGCATCACTGCAAAGTTAGCCGGAGTCATACCTGCATTACAGCTCTGTGCTCGAAGGCAGCCGTCTGGGCGCCACCGCTAACAAAATAGGCGCTCAGTGGCAGCCTCAAACATGGAATGCGGGTGGCCACACGAACATCCTTTAGGCGACTGTCAGGGAGGGAGAGACATGCAGAGTATAGGGGTATAAACTTGGAACCGGGTGGGGCAGGACAGATGGTGCTGAGGACAAGTGGAGCACGAGAAAGATGGGGCTGCAGGGCCGCTGTCTAATAGCCCATACAACGAATAGACACAAAAAGGAGAGGATGCTGCAGTTATGGGATGCCGGCTTACTCGTCAAGGGTTTTTAGCTCGCCTGGGACAATCTGTCGGATGCACTTCACAATATGGTCCAGCAGGCCCAGGTCCGCCTGGTGCATAATATCCGGCATGACAGCAAGGTACGGATTCCCCCATCTCTGGGCCTCAATGGTCCACCTCCATAGGGCGCACTGCCAATAAACATTGCACACGGGGGTAGCACCACAAAGAATTGTGAGATACAAGGGAAGGTGTTCGCGACTCAACAGGGCATGGGGTCACACGAGGAGGGGGGCGCTGAGTGAACTTGGTGTAAATAAACAAACGACCAGTGCGCGCGCTGGTCCGGCTTGACATCGCGGCGGGCTTGGAGGATTGCCTACCTCGACGTCGAAGGTCGAAAACCGCTTCTGGATCGTATCCCCGCGTCGACCACCGACGGGGGGAGGCTGGGCACAAATCAGCTGTTGCATGCCTGGTGTCCGCATGATGAACTCCTTGTCAACAGCCGAGAGATCTTCCTGGATATGCAATCAGCATCCATATGATGGCAATGGGAGATGCAAGACGAAGGGCGGGGGGGGGGGGGGGGAGGGGGGGGAGAGGAAAGGAGAGGAGAAGGAGAGAGAGGGAGAGAGAGAGAGAGAGAGAGAGAGAGAGAGAAGAGAGAGAGAGAGAGAGAGAGAGAGAGAGAGAGAGAGAGAGAGAGAGAGACAGGAGCGAGAGATAGAGAGAGAGAGAGAGAGAGAGAGAGAGAGAGAGAGAGAGAGAGAGAGAGAGAATGAGAGAGAGAGAGAGAGAGAGAGAGAGAGAGAGAGAGAGAGAGAGAGAGAGAGAGAGAGAGAGAGAGAGGGAGGCAATGGGGAATGGCAGTGGGAGGCAAGGGGAATGGCAGTGGGAGGGGGAATGGCAGTGGGAGGCAAGGGGGAATGGCTGTGGGAGGCAAGGGGGAATGGCTGTGGGAGGCAAGGGGGAATGGCAGTGGGAGGCAAGGGGGAATGGCAGTGGGAGGCAAGGGGGAATGGCTGTGGGAGGCAAGGGGGAATGGCAGTGGGAGGCAAGGGGGAATGGCTGTGGAAGGCAAGGGGGAATGGCTGTGGGAGGCAAGGGGAATGGCAGTGGGAGGCAAGGGGGAATGGCAGTGGGAGGCAAGGGGGAATGGCTGTGGGAGGCAAGGGGGAATGGCAGTGGGAGGCAAGGGGGAATTGTAGTGGGAGGCAAGGGGGAATGGCTGTGGGAGGCAAGGGGGAATGGCAGTGGGAGGCAATGGGGAATGGCAGTGGGAGGCAAGGGGGAATGGCTGTGGGAGGCAAGGGGGAATGGCAGTGGGAGGCAAGGGGGAATGGCAGTGGGAGGCAAGGGGGAATGGCTGTGGGAGGCAAGGGGGAATGGCAGTGGGAGGCAAGGGGGAATTGTAGGGGGAGGCAAGGGGGAATGGCTGTGGGAGGCCAGGGGAATGGCAGTGGGAGGCAATGGGGAATGGCAGTGGGAGGCAAGGGGGAATGGCTGTGGGAGGCAAGGGGGAATGGCAGTGGGAGGCAATGGGGAATGGCAGTGGGAGGCAAGGGGGAAGGGCTGTGGGAGGCAAGGGGGAATGGCTGTGGGAGGCAAGGGGGAATGGCTGTGGGAGGCAAGGGGGAATGGCAGTGGGAGGCAAGGGGGAATGGCTGTGGGAGGCAAGGGGGAATGGCAGTGGGAGGCAAGGGGGAATGGCAGTGGGAGGCAAGGGGGAATGGCAGTGGGAGGCAAGGGGGAATGGCTGTGGGAGGCAAGGGGGAATGGCAGTGGGAGGCAATGGGGAATGGCAGTGGGAGGCAAGGGGGAATGGCTGTGGGAGGCAAGGGGAATGGCAGTGGGAGGCAATGGGGAATGGCAGTGGGAGGCAATGGGGAATGGCAGTGGGAGGCAAGGGGGAATGGCTGTGGGAGGCAAGGGGGAATGGCAGTGGGAGGCAAGGGGGAATGGCTGCGGGAGGCAAGGGAGAATGGCAGTGGGAGGCAATGGGGAATGGCAGTGGGAGGCAAGGGGAATGGCTGTGGGAGGCAACGGGGAATGGCAGTGGGAGGCAAGGGGGAATGGCTGTGGGAGGCAAGGGGAATGGCTGTGGAGGCAAGGGGAATGGCAGTGGGAGGCAAGGGGGAATGGCAGTGGGAGGCAAGGGGGAATGGCTGTGGGAGGCAAGGGGGAATGGCAGTGGGAGGCAAGGGGGAATGGCTGTGGGAGGCAAGGGGGAATGGCAGTGGGAGGCAAGGGGGAATGGCAGTGGGAGGCAACGGGGAATGGCTGTGGGAGGCAAGGGGGAATGGCTGTGGGAGGCAAGGGGGAATGGCAGTGGGAGGCAAGGGGGAATGGCTGTGGGAGGCAAGGGGGAATGGCAGTGGGAGGCAAGGGGGAATGGCAGTGGGAGGCAAGGGGGAATGGCTGTGGGAGGCAAGGGGGAATGGCAGTGGGAGGCAAGGGGGAATGGCTGTGGGAGGCAAGGGGGAATGGCTGTGGGAGGCAAGGGGGAATGGCAGTGGGAGGCAAGGGGGAATGGCAGTGGGAGGCAAGGGGGATGGCTGTGGGAGGCAAAGGGGAATGGCAGTGGGAGGCAGGGGGATTGTAGTGGGAGGCAAGGGGGAATGGCTGTGGGAGGCAAGGGGGAATGGCAGTGGGAGGCAAGGGGGAATTGTAGTGGGAGGCAAGGGGGAATGGCTGTGGGAGGCAAGGGGGAATGGCTGTGGGAGGCAAGGGGGAATGGCAGTGGGAGGCAAGGGGGAATGGCAGTGGGAGGCAATGGGGAATGGCAGTGGGAGGCAAGGGGGAATGGCTGTGGGAGGCAAGGGGGAATGGCAGTGGGAGGCAATGGGGAATGGCAGTGGGAGGCAATGGGGAATGGCAGTGGAAGGCAAGGGGGAATGGCTGTGGGAGGCAAGGGGGAATGGCAGTGGGAGGCAAGGGGGAATGGCTGCGGGAGGCAAGGGGGAATGGCAGTGGGAGGCAATGGGGAATGGCAGTGGGAGGCAAGGGGAATGGCTGTGGGAGGCAAGGGGGAATGGCAGTGGGAGGCAAGGGGGAATGGCTGTGGGAGGCAAGGGGGAATGGCTGTGGGAGGCAAGGGGGAATGGCAGTGGGAGGCAAGGGGGAATGGCAGTGGGAGGCAAGGGGGAATGGCTGTGGGAGGCAAGGGGGAATGGCAGTGGGAGGCAAGGGGGATTGTAGTGGGAGGCAAGGGGGAATGGCTGTGGGAGGCAAGGGGGAATGGCAGTGGGAGGCAATGGGGGAATGGCAGTGGGAGGCAAGGGGGAATGGCTGTGGGAGGCAAGGGGGAATGGCAGTGGGAGGCAAGGGGGAATGGTAGTGGGAGGCAAGGGGGAATGGCTGTGGGAGGCAAGGGGAATGGCAGTGGGAGGCAAGGGGGAATTGTAGGGGGAGGCAAGGGGGAATGGCTGTGGGAGGCAAGGGGGAATGGCAGTGGGAGGCAATGGGGGAAATGGCAGTGGGAGGCAAGGGGGAATGGCTGTGGGAGGCAAGGGGGAATGGCAGTGGGAGGCAATGGGGAATGGCAGTGGGAGGCAATGGGGAATATGGGGCAGTGGGGAGGCAAGGGGGAATGGCAGTGGGGAGGCAAGGGGGAATGGCAAGTGGGAGGCAAGGGGGAATGGCAGTGGGAGGCAAGGGGGAATGGCTGTGGGAGGCAAGGGGGAATGGCAGTGGGAGGCAAGGGGGAATGGCAGTGGGAGGCAAGGGGGAATGGCTGTGGGAGGCAAGGGGGAATGGCTGTGGGAGGCAAGGGGGAATGGCAGTGGGAGGCAAGGGGGAATGGCAGTGGGAGGCAAGGGGAATGGCTGTGGGAGGCAAGGGGGAATGGCAGTGGGAGGCAAGGGGGAATGGCTGTGGGAGGCAAGGGGGAATGGCTGTGGGAGGCAAGTGGGAATGGCAGTGGGAGGCAAGGGGGAATGGCAGTGGGAGGCAAGGGGGAATGGCTGTGGGAGGCAAGGGGAATGGCAGTGGGAGGCAAGGGGGAATTGTAGTGGGAGGCAAGGGGAATGGCTGTGGGAGGCAAGGGGGAATGGCAGTGGGAGGCAAGGGGGAATTGTAGTGGGAGGCAAGGGGGAATGGCTGTGGGAGGCAAGGGGGAATGGCAGTGGGAGGCAATGGGGAATGGGAGTGGGAGGCAAGGGGGAATGGCTGTGGGAGGCAAAGGGGGAATGGCAGTGGGAGGCAAGGGGGAATGGCTGTGGGAGGCAAGGGGGAATGGCTGTGGGAGGCAAGGGGGAATGGCAGTGGGAGGCAAGGGGAATGGCAGTGGGAGGCAAGGGGGAATGGCTGTGGGAGGCAAAGGGGAATGGCAGTGGGAGGCAAGGGGGAATGGTAGTGGGAGGCAAGGGGGAAGGGCTGTGGGAGGCAGGGGAATGGCTGTGGGAGGCAAGGGGGAATGGCTGTGGGAGGCAAGGGGGAATGGCAGTGGGAGGCAAGGGGGAATGGCTGTGGGAGGCAAGGGGGAATGGCAGTGGGAGGCAAGGGGGAATGGCAGTGGGAGGCAAGGGGGAATGGCAGTGGGAGGCAAGGGGGAATGGCTGTGGGAGGCAAGGGGGAATGGCAGTGGGAGGCAATGGGGAATGGCAAGTGGGAGGCAAGGGGGAATGGCTGTGGGAGGCAAGGGGGAATGGCAGTGGGAGGCAAGGTGGAATGGCTGTGGGAGGCAAGGGGGAATGCTGTGGAGGCAAGGGGGAATGGGGGGGAGGGGGAATGGCAGTGGGAGGCAAGGGGGAATGGCAGTGGGAGGCAAGGGGGAATGGCAGTGGGAGGCAAGGGGAATGGCTGTGGGAGGCAAGGGGGAATGGCAGTGGGAGGCAAGGGGGAATGGCTGGGGAGGAAGGGGGAATGGCGTGGGAGGCAAGTGGGAATGGCAGTGGGAGGCAAGGGGGAATGGGCAGTGGGAGGCAAGGGGGAATAGCTGTGGGAGGCAAAGGGGAATGGCAGTGGGAGGCAAGGGGGAATTGTAGTGGGAGGCAAGGGGGGGGGGGGGCAAGGGGGAATGGCTGTGGGAGGCAAGGGGGAATGGCTGTGGGAGGCAAGGGGGAATGGCAGTGGGAGGCAAGGGGGAATGGCTGTGGGAGGCAAAGGGGAATGGCAGTGGGAGGCAAGGGGGAATGGCAGTGGGAGGCAAGGGGAATGGCTGTGGGAGGCAAGGGGGAATGGCAGTGGGAGGCAAGGGGGAATGGCAGTGGGAGGCAAGGGGGAATGGCAGTGGGAGGCAAGGGGGAATGGCTGTGGGAGGCAAGGGGGAATGGCAGTGGGAGGCAAGGGGGATGGCTGTGGGAGGCAAGGGGGAATGGCTGTGGGAGGCAAGGGGGAATGGCAGTGGGAGGCAAGGGGGAATGGCAGTGGGAGGCAAGGGGGAATGGCAGTGGGAGGCAAGGGGAATGCTGTGGGAGGCAAGGGGAATGGCAGTGGGAGGCAATGGGAATGGCAGTGGGAGGCAAGGGGGAATGGCTGTGGGAGGCAAGGGGGAATGGCAGTGGGAGGCAAGGGGGAATGGCAGTGGGAGGCAAGGGGGAATGGCTGTGGGAGGCAAGGGGGAATGGCAGTGGGAGGCAAGGGGGAATTGTAGGGGGAGGCAAGGGGGAATGGCTGTGGGAGGCAAGGGGAATGGCAGTGGGAGGCAATGGGGGAATGGCAGTGGGAGGCAAGGGGGAATGGCTGTGGGAGGCAAGGGGGAATGGCAGTGGGAGGCAATGGGGAATGGCAGTGGGAGGCAATGGGGAATGGCAGTGGGAGGCAAGGGGGAATGGCTGTGGGAGGCAAGGGGGAATGGCAGTGGGAGGGCAAGGGGGAATGGCTTGCGGGAGGAGCAAGGGGGAATGGCAGTGGGAGCCAATGGGGAATGGCAGTGGGAGGCAAGGGGGAATGGCTGTAGGAGGCAACGGGGAATGGCAGTGGGGAGGCAAGG